TTTTGTTTTATCTCCAGTTGCGTTGAAAATCACGACTGAGTTCACAATGACGGCCTGAATAAATCTAATAAAGACGACCCATGTCCATTTTTTTGAACGGATACTTGGAAGCAAGTTGTTGCAATGTCCATCGTGCACGTCTACTCCGCCCATGAATTTATTATAGAGATGAAATGCTTGTGGAAACGGAATCTCAATTTTTGAATGTGCACTCGAGCTAAATCTCTTAGACGGTAGTAGAGGAGTTACCCCTACAGCGGTAAAAGCGATCGAAACTGGTTTCGAGTCTACGATAGTTATGTAGTTACTTCCGCTGTTTTGATCATGCTTTACAACATACGTACCTCGTGGAGACTTTTTGTCGATTACATTTTTTTCTTTGACTCGATTTTCTCTTATAGTTCCTGTACATTGTAAACCTAACTTTTTCAAATGTACTAGGAGATCGAAATTCGTAAAAAAATTATCGCAGTAAAGATGGAACTGAGATATCTTCTTAGGAGGGATAGATTTGAGAAATGGATCCAATAATTCCATCACTACACGAGAACCTAGAGCACATTTACCCAATTTATCTCCAATTGATGAGGTTTTTCCACAATATAAATCGAGATTCAACAGGTATCCATCGGCGGTGCAGAGACCCCAAAATTTTAGTCCGAATCGTATGGGTTTTCCCCGGATAAACTGTTTTAGCGATGTTCTTGCATATGATTTGGCCATCATTTCGTCAACAGATAACGCAGTCTTCCACAAGCCAAACTGACGAATATTTCTCTGAAATAATTGTAGTAATTTACGAACGCGCCATGCCTTATCACTGGGATCATTGTCTTTAGGCATCAAATACTTCAATTCTGATTTGATTTTCTCAAATGTATCGCGTTGCATTGCAGAAGAAACCACCTCACATAATAAGAAGGGATCAGTTGACCAATAGTCTCTTTGAGATTTTCTTTTATTGAACGAGCTTACAATGATGATGCCAATGAAAGTATTCAAATCATCCAACTGCAATTCAAACCCATTCTCTTTACATGAGTCAATAATGTATGTTTTCATTTCCATGCAGAAAAACTTTTCAAACAGTTGTATCGGCTCACTTTTTTGAATACTTTTTTTTACACCGTCAGTTAGTAATAATTTGTCTTCAGTCTCATTCGGGTAGCTCTTTTCACCAACCATCCACTTATATTGGTGATCTCCTTCCAATTTACATTGATTATCTGTGTAATTTTCCGATGCTTGTTTATAAGTGATACTCGAAAGGTGATCGATTGATTCAAAATCAGAATCGGAATCACTAGAACAACCAGAATTGTCTGGATTCGGAATCGCGACAAGCTCGTCACAATTATCGTCAGAAGTATCCATTTCAAACTCTACATGAGAAGGAATAGATTGCCTTGGTCGTTTTCGAGACATAATGGTAATATTGTCAATATGCTCACGCTGCCGATGAGATAAGAATTATCGAAGAAGTGAATTCACTCAGGAGCAATAAAGATGATAAAACAATATTTTATGAATAAATTTTGTTGAGGTACTGAGCTGAAATTTAGGTATATAAGTGAGTTCGATTTAGTCTCAAGACAAGTTCTACGAAAATAGAAACCAAATTACTCAGATGAGGAATATTGGCAGACCTAAAATGAACACAAAAATTCTGAGCTAATATTTTTTACAGAAAATAAAATATCATTAGCAATGTGAACGATCCACACTCCACAAACGTGAAAAATTGAAAAAAGATGTGATAGGCATATACAAAACTTATTTGCAGACAGAAATATTTATGGATAATAAATATATTTGTATCAGGGATAATATTCAATGATGACCCGTATAAACAAAAACAAGATGAAATGTAAAAAAATCGGAGATTTCTCAGCCTCTGCAACGTCAATTTCATTCGACACATGAAAAATATAATATATGATCATAAAATGTGAATCAATTGAATGATTATTATTTACATTTATATGAAGTTGTCAATTCTTCAATAAACGTTAGATAATAACTGGGCGTTAATGGGAAGGTGTCCGCCATATTGCATCCGCCATTTTGAATTTTGAAATGATGATGCCAGATTCGTTATCAAGGACCTCGAAAACCCTCGAGTGCCACATTTCATCCGATTCAAGTAAGTTTTTGAATTTGGGTCCGCCATATTGGATCTGCCATTTTGAATTTTCGAATTTTGAGGACAGATTTGTAATTAGCGACCTTGAAAACCCCGAGATTCCAATTTTCGTTAAGATTTGAATATTTTTTTTGTCGGGCACCGAGAGTGAAAATTGTCTTCCTGCTGAAGGGATGAAAAGCGCCATTTTGGGGGTGAAAATGTCAATGTCTACAAATTAAAAAAATATATTCTTAAACTACAACTATTTTGTGCACTCATGGTTGAAGAAAAAGGGGGGCTCCTTGAGCGTCTTCAATGAGAAAAAAAATATTGAAAAAAAAATGTCTTCGATTTTTTCGGTTTTTTTTGTTTAAAAACGGCCATATTTTTTTTTCTAATGGACAAAACTTAATTTTGACTCCGGATTCGGAAAGAGGACACTCGAAAGTACAAGGGAACATATTTTTTATTTGCAAATGATTTTTTTTCGATGATAAGAATCTAGCTTGAAAATGAGAAAAAAAAACACGATTCTTCGGCGTTAATGGGTTAATAGCGAGTTTATTAGGTTGTTTTATAAATAATAATTTAAGTAGCCCAGGTGTGCTTCTATAAACTCGATCAGCAATGAGAATTTTATCGCCTTGAAAAACAATTTTTGTATTTTTATGTATTTATTTATTGTTTCGGTGATTTTAAGGGGGCGCTTAATATCATATTCGCTGTAGGCTTTTTTCGTTGTTCCCTTCTTCTTCTAAAACTTCTATTCTTTGTATTGATCCCTCCTTTTTCTCTTACCGCTCCTTCTTTCTCGCCTACAGCTTCTCTGTCTTTTCTTTCTGCTGCTCTTTCTTCTTCCTTATCTTGTACTTTTATATTTTCTATCATTTCGTGCTCCGAATTATTTATAGGGATTGGTCTTTTCATAGCTTTTAATATTGCTCTAACTTCTTCGCTTTGATTAATTTTTTCACGTTTCTTTTTTTTTCATGTTATCGTTATAAATAGAGAAAATATCCAGCTTTTGACGATTAAATTTTCTCTTTCTCGAGGTGGCATATTGTCTTTTATTCTTTGATATATTTACATTATCGTCGTTCAATGATGATATTTTAGGAGAGATGTTTTTTTCATTTATACGTTGATGTAATGGTATTACTACGGGCTTAAAAAATTCATTTAATGAATATTCACTATCATTTTTCCCATGCTCATTCATCTCATGTTTTCGACGCATAACATCGCTGATTTTCGTCAATTTTTCCAAGACATTGACTCCCTTGTCCAGTTGTATGCTCAATTCACTCATATTGATGATGTTTACTTAACAAACAATGATTTATAAATGTATATTTTTAGAATGAAGCATTCAATTTATACATATGAAACAATCAAAACCTCTTCTATATCGTCTATTATCGATTTCACTATCTTTATCGATGACGAGAAAACTATGATTATTTTTATTCCAACATGAAGTACACAAATCTTTGAATTGTTAATATTTGATATTTGTATTAACATGATCATTATATATATGCCGTAAATTTATTTCATCTTGTCGAAAGAGAATAAGAAAATTCACATTATCCCGTATTAGATGTTTTAGGATTCTCGCATAAGTTTGACAAAGATGAAAACTATCAACATCTTTATGACGACCCATACAAAAATATGCTTGAACATTATCTTGCTTTTCACAAGCTATATCATCAAATATCATAATGGAATTAGGTTGAGCATCATCTGTCTTTACAACTTGTTCATCATCATTGAATGGAAAAAAAACAACGTCATCAATCGGCTCGAGTAATTTCTCCAAGTATTGATATTCAGGTTGATTTAATGATTTAGAATACAGATAAACATTTTCAAATCGTAATCCATTTGGATGAGTGATTAGAACCAACAATACATTTGTTTTTCCACAATTAGACGGTCCACAAGTAACTGAGCGTATAGTATTTGGTAATAATTTACCATGACGTTTAGTCTTTGTATTTTTTTCCATTGGTATAATCTTATCAAAAATTTCTACAGATAATTTCAAATCTTGTAGTTTAAACTCCATCTCGATAATAACTAAGCGTAAAGATTTAAATATCGACACTTTTATAGTTTTCATTTAGTTAAATAATGACTGTTAAGAGAAAAATATCTAAAAAAGGAGCGGGGATACTAAATAAATTCATTAATAATTTACCCGTTGAATTACATATCCCAGGCTATCAATTTTGTGGACCGGGTACAAAATTACCGCAACGATTGGCTCGAGGTGATCAATCCATTAGATACTGCTTGTCGAGTACATGACAAAGCATATTCTCAGAATAGAGAAAATCTATCAGAGAGACATTTAGCAGATAAAATATTTGCTGAAAAAGCGTCGCAATGTGTACTAGCTAGAGACGCTGGCTTAGGTATGAAAATAACAGCGTGAAGTGTTGTGAATGCTATGAAACTCAAGTCAAAATTTGGAATGGAATTGAAGAAAAAAGAAGTTAACTCACGAAAGACGAGAGTGAAAGGAGGACAAATGAAGAAAAAGAAAACTCCACAACGTAAACATCGTCTACCTTTAACGAAAAGATCTGGTGGCTTGTTACCACTGCTTCCATTGTTAACAGGTTTAAGTGCGACAGGTGCCCTAGCAGGAGGTGCTGATGAGATCACTAAAGCTGTCAATAGTACCAGAGCAGTAAACAAAAAGTTGAATAAACTTAAACGTCACAATGAAAAAATGGAAGCTATAGCTATGGGTAAAGGCGCTTATTTGAATCGATATAAAACTGAAAAAGAAAAACATAACTGAACCGATATGAGTCAGGAAAGGGATGAAAATAAAAATTCGATAAAATTACCAAAGCAAGCACTAACTAATTTTGATTTGTTAGAGTATACAGAAAAATTGAAAATACCATATTTTCGAAATGTGTTCACGAGAAATGATTTACTGATGATTGTCTAAACCGAAGTGAATGGAACATGGTGTGATGTTTGGAGTTACATTCCTTAAATCTGTTCTTATTAGTGCAGGCTGGTGTGTTGTGTCTTCCAAGACAATTCCTGCAGAGTTTTTTGTTGTCTACCGTCCTCAGGCGTTGCTCAAGAGGCAAAGCCCTGTATTCTGGGCAGACTACGATGAAATGACCACCATTGCAGCAGTTACAAATGAATCTACGCTCACTGGTAGATGAATGCGATGAGCGTTGTTGATTGTCTGATTTGATGCGTGGCTCCAGTTTCTCCAAAGTACGAATCCGAGCCAGTAAAAACTTATGAAACTCTGCGTAAGTAGGCATTCGCTCAAGATTATTGTCCTGGGTTTCCCAGAGCTCACGAGTATGTTGATCGAGATGTTTGAGAATGTGAAAGATGAGAATTGTATCCCAATTCTTAGTTGATTGTCCTAATAGCTTGAGTGAGTCCAATGAATCGTCTACGATGGTAAGTGAGGATGAGATCTTGGCTGAATGTAGTGGAGCTCTTTTTCACTCAGCAAACTGGCTGAAGAGTTTCTCCAGGTAAACATTAATGAGCCTCTTGCGATTCTTGTACCTGGACTTGAGTGTCGCCCATGCTTTAGTGAATGATTCCTTCGTGTGAGGAAGGTTCTCTACCAGAGAGAGAGCTGGACCTGAAAGAGCTGATTTGAGATAATTGAATTTGATTACCTCATCCAGACCAGGTTGATTGGCTATCATGGACTCGAATTGATCTCTGAATGACAACCGGGAGGCACTAGTCCCTTGGAGGTTCCTTGGAAGCTACTCTAGCAGATATCATGAAGAAGTCTGAGACTGATTTGTTGAATGTCTCAAAGACATCATCCACAATGTACGGATGATGAAATTGAGATGGTGGCCAAACCTCCTCAAGCACTTGATGTTCTGAATTGAAAGACTCGTGCAACGCTGTGAGTTGTTTTTCCAGCGAGAGTCTTTCTTCTTTAGTGATTGTCTGTTGTTGGTCAGTGATTTGTTGAGTGAATGCCTGGGCTAAGCGTAGCCGAGCCATTTGAGACTTGATTTTGAAGGTCAATTGCACAGGTAGACCTGGATTGTGTGGTGTGATTGTCTGTATTGTGCTTTGCGTGGTCGATCTCCGTTGTGGCTGGAGATCTGGTTCTTCTAATTGATCAGTTGGACTACCAAACTCCTCTACGCCATCGTCAGGAGTCACGCTGATTGTTGGTTGAGGTTTTGAGGTCTTGGACTTTTGGTCTTCATTCTTCTTTTGTTGGTCGGCCACTTTGTGCACTTGAACACTTGATTGTCTTTGTCTTTTTCACTTGTGGCACCAAAATTGTAGTACTTTACAACCGAGAGCTCTGATCCGGCTCGAAGGACCATTAAATGTTGAGAAAATCTCAACTTGTGAATTAACCTAACCGTTTAAGGATAGGGATGATTGTGCCGGAACAGAGCAAACGGAAGTCAGGTTTTATAAAAAATAAATTATCTTTATTTTAAGCACTAACAGGTACACTAAGTATACTGACAAACTTGTGTTGTTAACTAGGAAGACTGAATGTCGCTCAAAATCACTGAATGTCTATTGTTAATTATTGAATCTGAATTGAATGTCTAAAAAACTACTCAACTTGGTATGTTCGGTATTATTGACCTCCAGCACGCTTTTCAAGTTGAGCAAGAATGTGATTGTGCACGTGGCGTTAGCCTATCAATGCAATGCAAAATGAATCTTGATAAAAAGTCTTGAAATATTACTTGATTCTAGTTTTAGAATGAAGCTTGAATGGCTCTGATAATTTTCAATAGCACTAGTACTGATGATTGGCTCAAACTTGTAAGATTTGTTAAGAATGAATAAGAATGGCGTGTACACATGAACGAGAACAGTGAAAGAATGGCGACAGGAACTTCATTAGTCAAAAGGGACACTGAAAAATAGTCAAATGATTGACTAAATTAAGAATTATTGATTGTTTGGTCGATTGGTTATCGACCAAGTCCCAAGATGGCCGCCGAAGTTCCTGTCAGCTGGCAAATTCAAAATGAGTATTAATTAATTCTCAACACATATATTATATGATCATAAAAAATATCAAGATTATGATACAACTAACTGTGGACATTTATGTTTAAAATTTATAAGGGTCAGCTATAAATATGATGTAGAAAACATTATATTTTATTTACATTTTAAGTATTATGCAGTAATCATTATGGGTGATTCTTTGATATTAACACTTACGGGGCATTCATCATTATTAGAGGTTTCATATTTCCCTCTAATTAAATTATTACCCACAAAAAATTATGTTCGTAATATTACAAGTGGTGCATACATAAATAATCAATTTGCTCATACAATTCATGCATTTTTTCCATCAGTCTCACCAGAATATAAAATTATTGAATCACCTACAGAAGTCATTCGTCTTCCAGTCACGGTGAGGGAAATACATAATTTACAGATACGAGTTGTGGATCAAGACGGAAAATTAATTAATCATCGATCTGAATCAGTCACTGTAAGATTACACTTGAAGAGTATATAATGGTGATAGTTTATGGTGGTCATTTGGAAGAACATAGTTATAATAACCATCAACCATGCGCAAATGTACACAGTTTGAAGAAGACAATCAAACGAGCAATATCTCAACAGAAGAAGATAAAAAGAAGAGGAGAACAGTGAAACAACTGACTCCTCAGAACACTCAGTTCCTAGAAAGTCTTGGTTTAGACTGATTTTAAAAATTGTCAAATTTAAATTCAGTTTGTCGTGCTTAATACCATGGAGGCGACGGCGTCAAAAATTAATGAAAAAATTGTTCAAGATCATTCTATTTTTCATTATGAGATTCACGCACATCCGCCATATTGTTTATCATTATATAAAAACAATGATGAGATACGTAT